GTCACAATCCAAATGAAAGTTTATGTTACCGGTGAAGATAATTTGTAACCAATAGAATCTTTGCTGAATGGTACTCTAACCCATTAAGCGGGAGCCCTCTCCCCTTGACAAGTAAAATCGTCCGGTGTTAGACAAAGTAAAATAATAAAGTAGGGTGCAATTTATGTGGCATAGTTGACATGAAGGGGGTAACTAGGCACATGGGCAGATACGACAGTTAACCCATTAAGCACCAGCTCTCTCCCCTTGATAAGTAAAATCATCTGGGATCAGACAGAGTTAAATAGTCTGGCATTAAATAAAGTAAAATAAAAAGTAGTGCATATCAGGGCATAATGCAACTCAATTTGTAATTTTCTGTGGTGAGTCGGCTACAAAATGAAAATTGGTATTATTTTATATTCCAAGTTTATTTGTAGATACTGTAATTCATTGTCAATTAATAATTTAACGTCAATTATTGATCATTTGTTGGCATTAATTGTCAAATTGCCACAAGATAACAGAGATAAGTTCACATAAAACCCACCCACTTATAATGTTGATTCGATGTTGTTGTGGCAACATGAATATGCACGTGGCCCCTTCTTAAACAGTTTCTTTATGCATAAAATTGGGAGCCTGGAAATTCTCGAGAAGCATATAAACAATAGTATGAGGGACTCAAACATGTATCCTCAATATATTCAGGGAATTTAGGAACATTCTACTTGGGTTGTCTGGATATTAAATAGAAATACAGCTATTTACTATGATAGCACAATATAGATAACACAAAGGAAGGATTGTTCTGCTCTTAGGCCCCATTTACATGAAACCGGGATGAAGTCAAACTGGAAGGAAAATTGAAATTGTCAACATGTTTACATGAGATCAGTACAAAAATCACAAAATTTTCAATTTATTCCCCTTACTAGGCAATTTTCTTGTTCAGATGGCTTTTGTTAGCAAATGTTGTTCCAATGTCAAGGTTACAGCCAAGACCGGTCTGAACTGTATTTGTGTTTACATTCATGCCGGTCTGAATTCATGCCAGTCTAAAGTCAATCGGCTTGATCCAGCAGGCAGAATGACTTGAGACTGGTCTGTCAAGTTATTTTCATCCCGGTCGCTTGTGAACATCTATTATAGATCATACTATGAGCAAAACAAAATGGTCCCGGTTTGACTTTGTTGTGGTCTCATGTAAACTGGGCCTAATACAAAGCCATAGAACTTGCTTTGGAGATTATATCAATAACATTGATATCCTCTCAATAGATCAATACATTAACAAATATAAATGTTTATATTGTTAACTTTAATGTATTGATCACTATTGAAACGGTATCAATATTAACTCATTTAGCTAATATTTATCTAATCGCCAAAGCAAGTTCCATGGCTTTGTATGAGCGAACAATCCTTCCTTTGTGGACCCTTGTAAATATAATTGTATATTTCATACCTTCTTGTAGCCTGTATATATCATGATTTCGACAGTTCGACTTGCTTAGAACACATACTATGACAGTATTTATTGCTTGAAATTATAACCTGTCAATACAAAGCAATATCACTAAGTTTTAATGTATTTTAATAACAATATATTGTTGAACCAAATACAAAATACAATGCGGTCAACGGCAATGGCGGTTAAAATATACATGAATATATTACTATTTATGGCACATATTTACACACGAAACTTAAAACTTTGTCTGAATCTTCAAACAATGTTGTATTTCTTCTTATTTTCTACTATAATTTAAGAAATCTTGGCTTTATCAACCGACGTTAAATTAAAATTTCCAAACGACGCGCTAGAAATGTGCTCTCGCTAAGCCTTCTGGGAGGCCCTTCTGAAGGCACTGATCTCAATCATGTGAGCAATCCAGTGCAAATAAACCTACATTTCTAAGGTTTTTTTGACAGGGACTCTTAACTTTAAAATTCTAGCTGTCTTGTTATATCTCCCTTGCATGAACATATTTTGTCATCACCACACAATTTCTTTTCACTGCATATTTTTACTGTTTATCACTGCACACTTTCCTGACATCACTAACACCAAAATGACAGATTGCTTAGATTATTTTTTATTAGTTTTTCAATGAGGCTCTACAAGGATTACATTAAAGGCGATAATATGTAAAAATATGATCCTTTGCCCCATTTACTTGTCTGAAAAACGTAAACCGCTCCTACGTGGTCCGCCACTTTGAATCTGAAAACCGGCTCACGAGGTGCTATTTTGACACCCTAAGTTTAACTCTCAAAACGGTGCTACTTTAACACTTTCACTCAATAGAATGGGTGTTATTTTAACACCCTAGAAAAGTGTTAAATATCTATGGTGCTAATTTAGCACTTCAAAATCAATTCCCAACTTCATAGTGTTAATTCAGCACCCAAATTGGTGTTAGATTAACACTTTTTATTTAACACCACCACAAGGTGTCATTTTAACACCTACGAAGGTGCTATTTTAACACCTTCAAATTAACAGTGTAAGTCTACGAAATCTTTGGCATTTCTTAATAGATTAATATTACTTGAGATCTTTTTGCATTGTTCTTCATTTTGTTTACTCCAGTTAAGTTTGTCGTCAATAGTAATATGTAAAACTTCTTTTTAATTTATAGAGACGGTCGATTTGGTGTCTGTTAATTGTGATATTTGGCACGTGACTTAAGTTTTCCAATCGTTGTCGAGATCCAATAATCATATATTTAGTGTTTTTAACGTTTATTGTTAATTTATTACTAGCATGACAGAATTACTGGATTCTGATTGGTTGAGAGGAGTACAATTATTTCATTAATTGTACTGCAGTACAATTAATGATTTTCCAAAAACAAACAAAATGGCGGAAAGGTATTTTAAACACAAGCGTGAAATGAAATTGCAGTGGAGGAACTAGATGAAAATACGAACAAAAGCACCAAATTTTGCTTTAACAAAAGAACTAAATGAAAATACAAACAAAAGCACCAAATTTGGGTTGAATGTCTGGCAGGACTGGGCTTTGGCGAGAGAATATGATGTTGACATTGGGAAGTACGTATCCAATTTTGTCATGCTAATAATAAACATGTTGCTCGTACAATTAGGGATTAATAGTACTCGTGATGTTTGGAAATTTGCCAAATTGGACTCGCCCCGGCGGCTCGTCCAATTTTGGCAAAATTTCCAAACATCACTCGTACTATTAATCCCTAATTGTACTCGCCATCGCATGATTACCTACACTTATTCGCTGATAGCCATACTCATTAGATCATTGTTGAGTTTACTTTCAATATCTATTGATGAATTTCCTTGACGTGATAGAGTTGTATCATCTGCAAATAGATTTGCATGGGTTGATTTAAGGCATTTCGGGAGATCGTTAATATAAATTAGGAAAATAGAGGACCAAGATTAGATCCTTGGGGTACCCCACAATGAATTGTTTGAATATTTGATCTACAATTATTTAGAACGCAAATTTGCTTTCCTTGGTCCAAATACGACTGAAACCATTTAAGTGCAGTACCACGCACTCCACAAGCTTCAAGTTTTGTTAATAGGATCTGGTGGTCAATTGTATCGAACGCCTTTTTAAGGTCTAAAAATATAACCCCATTAATTAAACCTTGGTCCATTGCCTTTAGCCACATTTCTGTAGATTGAAGTAGTGAGGTTTCAGTGGAGTGATAGCGACGAAAACGTGATTGGTTGTTAACAATTATATCATTGTGGTCTAGAAAGGTATTTAGTTGTTTGCTGACCAGTTTTTCAAATATTTTTGCGTTGCAGGAAATGACTGATATTGGTCTATAGTTTTCACAAAGCGTTTTGTCATCAGTTTTATATATTGGAGTTACCTTTGCAAGTTTCCAATCACCAGGAAATATTCCAGCTGTTTCAAGTGATAGGTTAAATATATATATACAAATGATTAAAATATTGTCTCATCAGCCTGTTTCACAAGCTTAGTTGAAATTTTGTCTAGACCAGTTGATTTTCCAATTTCCAAATTTTTAATTTCTCTTTTTATATCATGAATTGATATATTTTCAAAGGTAAAAGCAGTTGTAGAATGATTCATGTATGACAGAGGATGTGGACTAGTGTCACTATCAGTGATATTATTAGTCATATTAGGACCTATGGACGTGAAAAACTTGTTGAACTCGTCAACTATGTCTTTCTTATCGGTTATCTTATTTCCCTGACCTATATTAAGTTCGTTGACAGTTGTGGCTTTGGATTGCCTATTTAAAAGATTATTTAATGTATTCCAACCCTCTTTACTAGTTTCACTGTTTTGGAGTTTAGTGTTGTAGTATCGGGCCTTAGTTGCTTTAATTACTTCGTTAAGTTCGTTTCTACAACGTTTATAAGCTTCTTGGTAATTACAAGAGTTGAATTTAATTGCTTTTTGTTTTAAATAGTATTTATGGTATGCAATGTTTTTAATATTATTTGTCATCCAAGGACAGTGTTCGCTTTTGACTCTCCGAAGTCGAAGTGGTGCATGTAAGTTTGCAATATCAAGAAAAATAGTTTTCCATACTTCCCACGCATGGTTTGGGTTGGAAAAATTATAAGAGTTATAGTGGTTATGAAAAGCCGTTCTTAGGTCGCGTTGGAATGCAGTAGAGTCAAAGTATTTGAACTGCCTTGTTTCAACCAGTTTTGTTTCAGACTTTGGTATGCCAACCTTCCGACAAATATATACTAAACTATACGGTCGCTTATACCTAAATGTATAACTCCAGAATCAATGATTTTTATATCGCTTGCTTTAGTTATTATTACATCAATTAATGTTTTAGTTGTCGGCGTTATTCTTGTCGGACTCTTGATGCGCTGCTTTGATTGATATTCATTCATTAAGTCTGACAATTTTTTAGTATGATGTGTGGGATTAGTGGCAATCATACCGCAATTTAGATAGCCAGTAATAATAAGATCTACATTTTTATCGCTTAATTCCTGTAAAAGCTTTTCAAAGTCATTCAAAATATTAATATCACGAATTCAGAAGTTTTATTTTTTATTGTTTTGCATCGGCTAAATCGTATTTCATTCTTACAAATATTTTAGGCATATTATTTATATTTATGGTATACATATCCAAAGGATAGTGATCCACCAAGCCGCTGTGAGATATTGAAAGAAGTTCATCAGCAATAATGACTTCCTAGCAGTGCATGCGACTGTTAACTGCAATTGTTAGCACCTTTTTGCAAGAAAACACAACATCCATGTTTGGCAGCATAAAAAGATTGTGCAACATCAGAAACTCGGGAAAGATAAATTGCTGGTAGACCATCACCATCCCTTTGCATATTTATCACCACAGATTTTAGCCCAGTCAATTCGAAAGAAAAGAAACAATGTATATACCATTAATGTTTGTACCATTAATGTATGTACCATTAATGTATGTGCCATTATTTTGCCCCCCTCCCCTTCCATTTACCATAACCCCATAAATTATGACCACTCCCTAAAATTGTACAAATTAAATATATACTTTCAAAAACTCATTCCTAATTCATGAGGAAAACACAAAGAAAAATCATAAGCGTGTCGTATCTTTATATGTGGAGATTTCCCTTGATTTACATAAATTTAACTTTGATTTTCTCGACTTACACAACGTATTTTTTGAAAATTACTTCACCAATGAACTTACTGAAGCAATATAAAACACTCGCAGTGATACTCGGCTTCGCCTTGTATCTTTATATCTGATTAAAACACTGCTGCTCATATATTAAATAGTACTTATTAATTAAAACATTTCAAATACCGTCAATAAATAATCTAAAGTAGAACACAATCGACTGTGTTAAATGGTTAGTTTTGCATGAAAAAACTTACAGCGTCAAACTTGAATTCTGGTCGATGTCGTACGTGTGGAGCAGTTATCTGCGCTCTTCATCTTGAAGGTCTTTTAACTGCAAAACTTTCCCTCCATAAAAGAAATAACACAGCCTATATATTAGCCAACAAAATCTGCGAAACAATAGACCTTTCTGGTAATTACGTCACGACTAACACTGTTTTCAAATTAGGACCATCTTAATTGGAATGGATTTCAAATTTGTTTCTCGCGGGCTATGGTCAGAGGAGCAGAACATCCTTCTCCACCACATGCATAAAAAAGAATTTTGGATTATGACCAATAAATGTGGAAATAAGCTTAAACACGAAAACGAGGCTGATGGGTCAAGAGGGGGCATGGCCACTTTTTCACATTTTATAGTCAAACTCCAAAAATCTTTTTATGCATGTGTCGAAGAAGGATGTTCTGCTTCTCTGACCATGGCCCGTGAGAAACAAACTTGAAATCTATTCCATTCCAAGGTGGTCCTAAGTTGAAAACAGTGTAGTTGTGACGTAATTACCGAAAAGGCCTATTCACTGCTCATAGTTTACAATAAATCATTGCTCTAACCTGGTCCAACCTGAGGAAGCCGGATGTTCACTCAGCCAGTAACATTGTAGCCGTTGGTGTCTTGTGGGCACTGTCTTTGTGATATTCTTGAAACATCCAACATATTGTGCCAAAAGTTTGAAGTAATGATGCTTCGCTTCAAAGCGCATATGCACCAGTTGCGCACAAGGGGTCCAAATCTAAAAGTTAGAACAGAGTTTAAAATAGCAACCGATGTACTGTTTAGGGAGATTTAAAAACAACTTAAAATAATGCGGTTTACGGGTCTTATACAAAAACGAGTCTTTACTGTAATAAATAACATGATTACCCAAAGCAAATAAATCTACCTTGTTAATTTTTCAGGAGGGATTGTACCATAATTATAAGGCTAAACTAGACTACGGGGTACGTCAGTGAAGACAGCATAATTCCATCAGTTCTTTATATTGATTTCAATTACCATTGGAAAGCAGCACACTGGCAAAATCGACGCTGTCTGGAAACATGGGCGGATTGTTCAACCAACAAAAATGTCGCTTCGCCCCCCTCCTATTTTGTGTGAAAATCGTTAACCCTAACGCCTAACCCCTGCCGAAGCTCGCTCAGTGGTGCCGCTTGCACCCAACTAGAAATTTTTCTACCCCTTCTTTTAAAAAAATGAAAAAATCCGCCCTTGTCTGCACATACACTACTGTACTTTAGTATAATTCCAACATTTAGTATAATTTACGGTACTACAGCACACTGTATAAAGAACTACAGCATATACCCAGGGTGTTAGCCAGGGTTTCAAAAGTGGCCGTCCAAAATAATTTTGTGGGCGTAGTCACATATTTTTGGGCGTGGCCGTAATTTTTTGTTGTTGTGGAATTGTGGTGTTCTACTCGTTGAACCTTCTTACTTTTAGTATTAGATGCACATTTCATTTATTAAATTAGTAAAAGCACACATATGGTATGAACCGTATGATCACTACGATGTAGATAGATAGATAGATAGTTTAATAGATTTTACATGGCAGCCGAATTGGCTGAATTGCGTAAAATTAACAAAACTTTTGTTGTTGTGGAATTGTGGTGTTCTACTCGTTGAACCTTCTTACTTTTAGTATTAGATGCACATTTCATTTATTAAATTAGTAAAAGCACACATATGGTATGAACCGTATGATCACTACGATGTAGATAGATAGATAGATAGTTTAATAGATTTTACATGGCAGCCGAATTGGCTGAATTGCGTAAAATTAACAAAACTTTTGTTGTTGTGGAATTGTGGTGTTCTACTCGTTGAACCTTCTTACTTTTAGTATTAGATGCACATTTCATTTATTAAATTAGTAAAAGCACACATATGGTATGAACCGTATGATCACTACGATGTAGATAGATAGATAGATAGTTTAATAGATTTTACATGGCAGCCGAATTGGCTGAATTGCGTAAAATTAACAAAACTTTTGTTGTTGTGGAATTGTGGTGTTCTACTCGTTGAACCTTCTTACTTTTAGTATTAGATGCACATTTCATTTATTAAATTAGTAAAAGCACACATATGGTATGAACCGTATGATCACTACGATGTAGATAGATAGATAGATAGTTTAATAGATTTTACATGGCAGCCGAATTGGCTGAATTGCGTAAAATTAACAAAACTTTTGTTGTTGTGGAATTGTGGTGTTCTACTCGTTGAACCTTCTTACTTTTAGTATTAGATGCACATTTCATTTATTAAATTAGTAAAAGCACACATATGGTATGAACCGTATGATCACTACGATGTAGATAGATAGATAGTTTAATAGATTTTACATGGCAGCCGAATTGGCTGAATTGCGTAAAATTAACAAAACTTACATATTACAAGCAAATTAAAAACAACACATACACAATTACATATTACTGAATGTAATAGTATTACATATTTTATAACATCAGCGCAAATTCAGATATGTCCCCCACCACCACCACCGCTAAAAAAAAAGATCAACCAAAGTTGTAAGCACAACTAAAAAAAAACCCCAAAACATGCATAAAAGCAAATGGTTGACGCGAGGCAGCCGCAATGGTGGTGGAAGTCATATCAGAACCCCACCAATATCCTTTTAAACTACTCCTTTGACATAGAAACGACAAAAGTGTTCCTAAAACGATTTGTTCGTCCCTGTCTTCTCAGATTATATGCTGAGATATTCTTGGGTGGCAGAATATGGTGAAGTTTGTGCTCGGTATCAGATATAACTGATTGAAATAGTTTCTTACACAGTTTTAGCCGCCTATCTCTCAAGGAACTTATATTCAATTTCATAAGATTGTCCGTATATGATAACACCGGGGATATTATGGACAGCGCACGCTTTTAAATGCGCTCAAGGTCATCACATAAATATGCAGGGAGAGCATGATGGAAAACAGGAGCACAATACTCGAGAACCGGTCTAATAACAGTGCAGTAAAAATTGACAATATCACAAGCAGCGACGTTAGCACGCTTGAGCAAGATCAAGAAATACAAACGTTTATTCGCTTTCTTGATTACTTCGTTTACATGGTCAACCATTGGAGTGAACTGGAAATGATAACTCCCAACACCTTGGCACTGCTAACCAGTTCGAGTTCTTTGGAGTTGATTGTGATTGCGTCAAACTGTTGTTTCTGTCTCTTGAAGTCAATGACCATTTCTTTACACTTCTCAGCATTCAGTTGGAGCTTGTTGACATTAGACCACCTCTCGACATCAGTAACGGCGTTTTGGATAAAGGTTTTGCCATTCCGTGGAACAACTTCAGCTAACGTGGTGTCATCTACATACTTCCAAGCATGCGCTTCAGATGGATTCAGATGAATCATTTGACAACTTTACACGTTGAAATCTGTTTGATAGGAAATCACACACCCAGCGAGCTACACCACATGGTATTCGAAGGGAAAGGACTTTGTCAACTAGAATGCGGTGTTCGATCAGATCAAAGGCTTTTTTATAGTCTAGCAATATGATCCTCACTGCTGCACCTGTTCCATCTGTGGCAGGGGTCCACGCATGCATCATGGATACAAGAGCCTGAGTAGTAGACGACTTCGGGATGGCACCAAATTGATTGGGATCGATGATTTCAAGAACAGCAGATCCAACATAATTCATAACGATAAAGTCCTCAGCTAACTTCGATAAAGCTGATGTTAGCGAGATGGGTCTTATATGCTTAGCAATTATTGAAACCGGTTTCGTCTTAGGCAGTGGTGTGATATTGGCATATTTCCATGATGCTGGAAGCGCTTGTTCCTCAAATGAACTGTTTAAGATGTTACAAACAGGGTTTGCAAGAAATTCTGCATATTCTTTAGGTAGCCAGTTAGGCACCTCGTCTGGACCACACGCTTTGCGGGGGTTTAACGTCAGTAATCTCGAATACACAGAATAAACATCAAGTTTTAACACCTCGGATTTTTCGTCGAATGGAGGAAGACAGGCAAGTGGTTGGTATGCTTGCATGGGTTCGAGGAGAGAGGTGTTAATAAGGTCTGCTACATACTTATTTGACTTTGCATCAATGCCGCCAATGTGAAGCTGCGAGCAAATATCAACATTGGACGTTGCAGGGACCATCCCCGAGATCTTTTTAACCTCGTTCCACCACATGCTCGGTTTGGTATTTTTCAGGTTCGCAACTCTAGTGTTGTAATACCGGCTGCGAAGCTTCGTTCGCTCACGATTAACCACGTTACGAAGCTGTCGATACCTGACTTGAGCACCTTCAGCGTAGGCTTTCTGGCGTTGTTTGATCAAACTTTTGAATTCAGGGGTGATCCAGGGAGCGTCGTTGACGTGTAGTTTAACAGACTTTAGTGGCATGAGAATATCCACACCAGTTTTAATTAGATCTTCAAAAAGTAGTAACTTGTTTTCACATCCATTGATGGAATCAAAAACCGACCGGTCAATCGAGCTAAGATACCTCCCGAGTTCAAGTCTTGGCTCAATCGAGTATCCCTCCGAGTCACGAAACGACGGCTGCAACTTCGAACGGTTCTTGATTTAGGCTGTAACAATAACACCGAGTGGTCCGACAACCCGAAAGGTGGAAATCTTTGAACTGAGTTCTTCTCATACAGTTGAGACATGTTCGTAATAATGAGGTCGAGAGTCCGCTCACCTCTCGTTGGACCATGGACGAGTTGATTTAGCTTGAATTGCTTAAGGAGACGACTTACGTTCAAACGATTAAAGTCACCAGTAAGCAATATGCCACAATGAAGCGAGGTAATCCAACATCGCATTGTCACTGGCACCTACAGGATAGTGAGTGTGATACACAGTTCCAAATACTATACAAGGGACTGCCTCGTACCCAGGCGCTTTAAATAATTACAATACATGAAGTATTCAGGTAGGCAGGCGACGCGCGAAGGGGCTGTTGGGAAGGGTGCGTGCTGGGAAGCGCCTGGCAGTTCTTGTATATTGTCATGGCGGGAAAACATGGAATTTAATACAAAAAGTTACCATATCGTCATAAACGCTGTGTGTAAAACCTTACTTTGTGATGAAGAGTTGAATTGAACGCCATTGGCAAATAATAATACATTTGTAGATGTTCTATGACATGCAAAATGCGCGAAAAATTATATGAGTAAATAACATGACAAGTTAACCGTGCGAATATTTCGAATATGTCATTCGGTATTACAGGGATAATAACAGAATGCTATGAGTTGCTTAGTATAAAACAGTAACAGAGAAATTATTAGAAAGTCATATAATTGCTTTTGTATTAATAACTTCTTTAGCTGAAGACTCGATCAGTCGATCACAATGCCAATGGCAATTTCTATTAAATGTATACTGTAAACAAAAGCCCAAGTAAATAAAAATTCACAGCCGTAAAGTTTGAAATATTTATTACAACAGTGCAATTTTATAGTCTGTACCTTTATATAGTTATAGCTTACAAATCTAGTTCCTGCAAGTCTAATTCTTCAACGCTTCGGTTGTTGACATGTTAATATTGGAATTTCCATGGACTTTAAATAAGGCATATGTCATATATACCAAGAATAACAGCATTTATTTTTCACCCTGCTCGGTTTCCTTTGTTCTTGTCGGGGAATATAATCAATATTCCCCTCTAATCAATTTCCGTTTAATAATCCCCTCTAGTATTCACCTGCAATTAATAATCCCCTCTAATATTCACCTGCA